CACCTCCGGAATAATACACTGTATAATCACCACTTCTTATTTCACCTTGTCCTTTCCACCGCACTTCGCTGACACCTAGAACAGACACCTCATTCTTCTGCATTTCCATTTTCAAATTCTCCAATTTGCCTGCTTGATTCAAGGTCCTTACATGCCATGTTCCAATCTTGTAGCTATGATGTTCCTTCTGATCTTCGTACTTTTTCTTGTTGTAACGCCTGCATGACATTTCCTCTAGAAACACTCCCCCCCAGAGATGCGATTGGGGGAGTAGTTTACCTCTGGATTGTTTTGTCTCCAGAGGAAACATCTCGCATACATGGTATCTCTGTTTTTGGAAAGAGACTATCCAGGAAAAGTGATAATGTGGTAGTTTTTCCATTTGCTTTCCACATCGCAGTACAGCAGCCTTTCAAACCACTCTGGTCACACCTGTTGCTATACGAACTTGAACCATCTCGAGCATCATTTGCTCTGTGCTTCAAGTCGCCACTGATGACGCTGCTTCCGACATCAGTTTTTCGTGTCTCTTCGTCTGATGCCTACCCTTTGACCTGTCCAGCAAGGGAGGCACTGCCAGTAGCTACGCTACCGCTGGAATAGCTCTCAGGGTCCTTGGCATACTCAAACCCCCTCACCATGATAAGGTGGAGACACCAACGAGGGGGTTACTGGTATATATGAAATTTTATCTACTCGAATTTTAATTCTCTGCACTTGTTAGGATTATTTACATAAGCTTGTAAAGGTCGATGGAAATGTTCAAAACCAACCAATGTACTGTCACGATTTAGAGGTGACTATAGACTGGGTGTGGATTGGTGAGTAGTTTTACTGACCACTTATACACACAACTAGGAAGTACAACTAATTATAGCACCATTGCTAATCTCCACAATTCACATATCACCACAGCACCTGCTAAGCCTTTTTCTAGCCTGCTGTGTCTCACCAGCCATTCCCTAGCAACGGCTTCTAACAGTGGAGATTCTTCAGCTTCACACGCTCAAGTGCTTTCTTCACATCTCCCCATGCAGAACTCAACTGTCAACTGACATGACTTGGTTGCACCATCTGTCTCCAAGATAACTTCTTGGCACGGACCACATAGAAAACCTAGTTCTTCTACTGTTGCGTATTCATTGCTGCAGGAACATGCTTACAGAGTTGCTGCCTAGAAACGGGTTGCATAACACCGTTTATTAAGAATCTGCTGCTCATGACCATTACTCAGCAAAGGGTCTACACGCTACAATATGTTATATTCATAATATCACTAGTTGCCCTTTTCTGAAGCTGGTTCATTCGTTTTTGCTTAAATTTTAAGTTGGGCTCTGGTTTTATGGTTTGTGAAAAGAATATTACACATGGCCATGGGTACAAAGTGACATTTAAGAGGCTGAATAAGTTCTTTCATTTTAATTCCTGCTGATGATTTCTCACTTTCTTGGTTAACATATCATGACTTACGTTATTTCAGTTGTTCAGAGAGAGGTATTTATACCATTGCATTTATTGATGGTTTGCGCTGCAGTAATGCTGTGTCTATCTATCAAATTAAAGAAGTATCTGACATTAATATTGCAGAGCAATCCTGCTCTAACTAAGGCACATTTTAAATTACACTGCAGCCAATATGAAAGACAGAAACATTTGGAATGACTGTAAGTGAAATATTGGGTGTCACTGAAAGCTGAAACGAAGTCTGTCCATGCAAAATATGTGCATGGTAAGCAGATAAACTATGTGATGTTCTGCAAACAAACAAATCTGTGATACAAGGCTCTCACTGATGTGAAAAAATGTTTAACAGTGAGGGCTCAGTGTTTCCAGAGGAGATACTATTAAAATACTGTCCTGTCACATCCGTGGATGTTGGGGGATCCTCTAAGCATACAAACTTATTCTGACAAACACTTGCCACAGACTCATTCCCAAAGGTGCAGAAAAAGAAAAACACTGTGACAAGCTAAATTGCAACCAAAAAGAAGAGTGAAGATGAAAACCTACAGAACGAAAATCAGCAATTTGCTATATGAATTATGCAAGTGCGCATGTCATTTAATAGCATATTTTTGCATCTTCAGATCATATTTTGTCATTTTTTGGCACATATATATTTATATTTACAATTTTTTGTGAATAAAATCCAGTGTCTAGATACTGCAGTAGTCATGTAAGCTGAGGTTACAAAATGCAGTGGCAAATGAAATGTGGAAGACGTGACCAATATAGCCATACAAACTTGCAGAGGGGGCAACTGTATATGTGGAACACCATTCTGAATGCTAAAGAGTGAGTAAGATTCGAGGTTTTCATGGTGGTGACTGTGAAGAATGCCGTCTTCTGGGATGTGGCATCACGTAGATCTTGTGTGAACTGATGTTTTGGAGGAATGTATCACCTCCATCTTCAGGGTAGAAAAATCCATGAGCGAAGAACCAGCATGAGCAGACTGAATAACATTAATATCTCCCACAATGTCATACATATGAAGGTACACAATATTCTCTGCAAGTGTGTGAGACCTTTTAAGAGCAATTCATGAAAGTGCCAAGAAGTTACTGAAATTTCTTGGATAAAACAAAGACTGAAGTGTTTCAATACATTTTTGCAGGCTTCATGAGAAACAACACATCACAATGCATATGAAAGTTTTGATTAAAGTAACATATATTCTATTTAGGATCTGAGGTTCTCACTGACTGCTCATTCTGAATAGCCACCTGCTCTCGATGGTTTCTTGCTCAGCTGATTTTTGACCCTGAAGATGGAGGTGATACGTCCCTCTAAAACGCTGGATCATGTACAGACTACACGGTGCTATATCCAAGAAGATGGCAAATTTTGTATATTCTATTTATTTTCTTGCGTTCAAGGAAATGTCTGCATGGATGAGCATATCTGACAGTATTATATCAAAACCACTGGAGAAAGTACAAGTGTGCAAAGTGAAAGATATGACAGAGAGCTGCTGGACTCACTGTGTCCAGTGACACAGTGAGTACTGAACATTATAAAACAACATGTAACAGACAGAAGTCAAAACGTAATATTAATGAGTACCATTTTCACGTTGCATGTATACACAAAATATAGGAAGAATGACTCCCATAGCGGAAGAATGATATAATACACGATTTTGAAATACGACGTATAAGATGATAAATCTTAACAAATTTTAATATATATAAATTTTATTATAGTGCATGAAGAATATATATTTCAAATCATTTTATAAATGACACATGATGGCGAGCAGTGCCATAGTTTAATGTAAATAACACACCTGAGGATGGCGCAGTGATGCCGAAACATGTAGTGAAGTGACAAGTGAGATTGTGTGCACTAGAAGACGGTCAATACATATACATCATGGACGCGAATCAGTGCAACATGATGCTAAAATACAACATAATTTAATTTTGGTTTAAAACTTAATAAAGTTGTTGATACTGACTTGTCAAGAATACGTGACATGTTGGCTTTCACAGCACTGAGAATAGCTTCCTTCATGGTTGGTGTTTTCTGGAAAACATCATCAAGACTGTTCACATCACTCTCCTTGTCCTGTTTGTACATGTCGCCGTAGAATTCCTGTCGCAACTGACTCTTCTCGAATGCACTTGCCCATGTTGAATATGTGTGTTCAAGAATGGGAGCAGCGACCTGTGTGTACAGAGTACAGTCAAATGTTCAGCAATTCAATTTTGTAACAATTCACATTTATCATCTAACACCCTGAAGATTACAAACTGTCTCACGTGAGGTTCAAAAATCCAACAACCACAGTCAGGCTGCCATTGTTAAACCTCTGATTACTGAAAGCAACACTCAGATGCATAAAAGATGGTGTCATGACCAGAAAATCTGGACATCATACAACTGGAAACACAGGTGTGGTGTGGTATGGTCAGATGAGTTGTCCTTCACACTGATCCCTGCATCAGGGAGAGTTTGCATTTAGAGAACACCCAAGGAAGCCTACAATCGAATGCCTGCTTCCAATAGTGGAAAGTGGGGGGGGGGGTCTGTGATGGTTTGGGCAGCAGTATCGTGGTACACCATTCTGTTACCCTTCATGGCTGAATTACGGCAAGGGGGTATGTGGACAAGTTGGGTAATCAGAGGCATCCCATGCTCCAGATGTTATTTCCGAACAATGATTCAGTTTCCCAAGATGATAATGCCACCATTCACACAGCTGGAACTGTTCAGTCATGGTTTGAAGAGCATGAAGGTGAACTTCAACATCTTCCTGGTCAGCAAAATCACCATATATGAACACCATTGAATCATTCTGGTCAGTACTGGAGCCTAGAGTGAGGAACAGATTCCTGTGTTCAACATCTCGAAAGAAACTAGATGTTCTTCACGAAGAATGATGGAAAATTCTTTTACAGACTGTTCAAAATTTGTACGAGTCCATTCCAAAAAAGGACTGCAGCTGTACTAAAGCCAAAAGGTGGTTCAACACCATATTAATAAAGAAATGTGTATAGTATCTGAGGTGTTTCCATTAACTATCCAACCCCTGTAAATACATTCAACCTTTCACATGAATTTTCACTTACTTCTATCTAAAAACTGTCAAGTTTCCTGTGATGTCATTCACTACAAGCAAGGAAACTAACAGATATATATGTATATTCTTTTTCACATAATCATCTGACTGGAAAAATATCCAGATTGATGGAGATATTCATAATGTACAATACAATATGTATCTAATGCCTGTATTTTCTCAGTGTATTCTACAAATAACACAGGAACTTACAGAATGACTTGTAAGCTTCACCACCTTTCCGTGAAGAGAACGTATAATGGCCTTCCTGGACTCATGGGAACCATACTTCAACATTCTTTTCACACAGAAGCAAGCATATCTGGACTGAAGCATGGCTGGCACATGAGGTACAAGCTCTTCTGTAATTGCTGCTCGCAAATCAGGTGTTCCAATTTTTAGTAACCACTGAATTACTCGAGATAAGTCATGAGAATATACAACCTAGGAAAATAATTAGTCTTAAAACATGAAATACATTTCTCCTATGATAGCGTTAATATTAACTTAAGTAACTGTGACAACATGCAGGATGTAGATCATACTGTAGAATTACTTCTTAAATTGAATACAAATACAAGAAAAATTAAAAGACACATTTCAGACTGGTACATCCTTTTAATTGAAAACCACAGTTTCTGGATATTTTACACTTAGTTCCTCAAGGCAGGGAGCCACTTTACTTATATTCAGAAGTTCCAGCTGATTTCACAGAGCTGAACTTCGCAAAAAACTAACAGCAGTATTTGCTACTGTATCACGTCTCACTAAGTTACAGACATACAGGGCAACTAGTCTAAGGGCCAGCAAATGTGTGACCAGAGGGACTGACACGCTGAACATCTTAGATGACAAACATGAAGGTACTGAATGCACTGATTGGCCACATGATAGCAAAGAAAATCCAGAAGTCAGTCACTCATAAGATGCTTTTGAGCAACCACCCAAGCCCACAGAACTAGTCTACCATGTGTGTTGAAAGGGAAGATGAGGAAAAAAAAAACAGTAAAGCTATCCCTGTACCAGCCCGTGAATGCCCATAGGGTTGTGAGATGTTGAGGGTCCCACATTATCTAGACAATTGGCTCAAAGATGGCGGTAAGGTTGTCAGCCTTATGTGCCAGCCGCACTTTACTCCCCAGGAAGATTCATGGTACTCATTTCTGTTAGAAGGTGAGTGAACCCCAGGGCCACAGTGTGGCTGGAAGGATTAGGTCAACTGAAAAAATCCAATGACCTCATCGGTACTTGAACTCGTCACCTTCCGGCTTGTAGCATAGCCCCTCAACCAACTAAGCTACCGCGTGCCCTCTGAAAGGAAAGGGAAGACAAGAGAACAAGTAAAACATCACTGGCTAAATAAAGGTGGCAAGGAGTGTTACAATTTGACTGCTGAATGAAGATAATTTTGGTGTTATACAGACATCAAGTGAACCACTGGAAACATCAAATCGGAAGACAAGAGATTCATACTCCCACATTCTAAGGAAATATTGTACAAGCAACTGTCAGCAGAATTCACTCGGACCAGGCTAAACAAATGCAATATTAATGAAGCAATTTATATGAGTGGGCTATCAGCAATGCAGCTGAAATGGGATTCAACAAATTCAGGCAAGCAGTAGTTGGATTACAATGTTCAAACAAGCGAGCTCTATATGAAGTGGAAAGATTACAAAACCTATGTAAGACATGAGATTTTCACAGTGGTAACTATGAAAAATACCATCTTCTGGGATGTGGAGCCACGTAAATCTTGTGTGAACCAATGTTTTGGAGGAATGTCGGTTCGCACAAGATCTACACAGTGCCACATCCCAGTAGACGGCATTCTTCAACACAAAATCTGTTTCTCAGACACTATACCAGAAAACTTCAATTACTGTTCAAGCACCTTGCTTCTTTTTTAAAACAAGTCATTTTTATTTTATTAAGGATATGATAATGGTATGCACTGAATATTAGCATGTTGTTTTCAAGCTTTTAATGACTGAGTACCCCTGAAACGGTTTAATAAATGTCTGGTACCCCATGCAATAGAAAACCTGTAAAATGCACATCTTAATTCTCTTAAACCCTTGTGGTCTTATGTTGGGCTGAATCTGCACTTTAAATTCTGCATTCCGGTTCTACGTTGGACTCAGTCTGCCACATGTTTTATGAATGTTATAGACATTCTGTTTGGAGAAAAAATATACTTAGTTTTCTCTGTGTTTACTTCTAGACCAACCTCTTTACATGTGTCAATTAAAGACTGTGTGTTTTTATTTATGGTATCTACATTATCACCCAGTAGATTCACAGCATCAGCATAGGCCAACAGCTGATGTGTCCCATTTAATTTCAGTCCCACCTGGTTTCCCTGGACCTTCCTAATGGCATATTCTAAAGCAAAGTTGAAAAGGAGTGGCAATAAAGCATCTCCTTGTTTTAGCCCATTCTGAATAGGAAATTTATCAGACAAATGTTTATCAACACTGACTTTAATATACGTTTTGTTTAAACATATTTTAATCAACTTAACTAGCTAGGGGTCTCCCAAACTCTATTAGAATATTGTACAATACTTCCCTCCTAACTGAATCATAGGCTTTCCTGAAGTCTACGAATAGCTGATGTACGGTCTCATTGTACTCCCATTTTTTCTCCAATATCTGACAAATGCAAAAGATCTGATCGGTAGTTGATCTGTTATGTCAAAACCCACACTGATGATCCTCAATAATTGCATATATATATTGACTTAACCTTGAGAGAAGAATATTGGATAGAATTTTGTATGAAGTTGATAGCAGTGATGTCCCCTGATAAGTACTACAGTCAGTTTTATCACCCTTCTTGTGAACTGGTACAACAAAAGACTCCTTCCACTGATCAGGCAATTTTTCCTTATGCCAAATAGAATTAGATTGTGGATCTTAGAATGAAATATTACGCCTCCTGCTTGAATAAGTTCTGCTGGAATTTGATCACTACTTGGTGATTTATACCGTTTCAATTTTGCAATAGCACTTTCAACCTCAAAAGGGCTAGAATCAGATATTAACAGCTCAGCTGTATGGATTTCTATCTGCCTAACATCACTGACCCTGTGTACATTCAATAACTGAGAGTAGTTCCTCCACCTATTCAAAATGTTGTGGGAATCTATTTCTGTGAATTCTATGACAGACTTTTCAGAGGGTCTACATATAATTTTCTCTGTTGTTATATCCCAATGGCATCTTCCAGCCGGCATGCACGGGACAGCAAACAGATCCATGAACAATGGCATGATGACTCAGATTTTTCATTGAATTTTGTCAGGATTCAGACTTTGATATACAGTAGAACTTGGTTATAACGTCATCAAAGGGACCTAAAAATAGTGTCGTTATAAACGAATGTCGTTGTAACCGAAATGGGCATTTCCACAGTAGCCTTATGTTAGTCACGTAAAAATCTACCAAAAACCGAGTTAAAATGTTGCATTTTTTAGTGAAATACGTAGCTAAGTACAGACTAACGTAACATTAACGTGGAATTGCCCAAATGTGTAATATCAAAGACATATTACAGCGCTTTTCACTGACAATACACACAATATTTCACGAATCACTTTAACTTTCTCTTCAATGCTTAAAACTTTCCTTTTCATTGCCATGTTTTCGCTACTGCACTTCTCTGGGTTTAGGCAGGAACACTATAGGGTAAGTAGACAATGTGAGGTCCTGTTAGACGAGTTTCTAGGAAAGGAATGCAGTTAACAACCTGCCGCGTCCTCTTGCACTATTCACGCAGTCCCACCCCACACCCTTGTTTTCGCATAAAACCCACGCTCCTCTTGCAGCCCGCAGTAGTATTCTTCCAGGACAGTCACGTCAGCAAGTAGAGAAAGTGAGGGTGGGCAGACACATCGAACTTTCCCACGATATCAGAGAAATTCAGGAATGAAAATTACGTTACATGCGAGGTTGATGTATTTGTGCGTGTCGTACTAAGCAAGGTATAAAAACAGTTGCTTTATGAGGACTGAGTTCGTACCATTGAATATTTGACGCAATAGACAAGGTGTCGCAGAAACTGATGTTGCTATAACCAAGTTTTACTGTACTTGATCGTACTGACCTTGATGTAGATATAAGTGGGCTTAATTTGAGTGACAGTTGTAGTAATTCTGATGATGGTCAGGTAAGTGGAAATGTAAGTGGTAATGATGGTGGTTTTAGTGGTGGTTACAATGAAGACAATTGTACTAAAGACTGTGATGAAAATAACCATGATTTCTATATCACACCATTTCATGCTTCACCTAGTTGTAAACCATCATGAAATGGATGAATGCCTCTTTCTACACATAACTTCTCATGCTCTTTTTAGTGCAACTTTACTTGAGGAAATAGCTGCTGAAACTAGCAGAAATTTAATTAAAAAAAAGACTGTACGATATGAACTGGCAGTCAGTGAAACTTCAAATTTTGTTCCCCTTCAGTTCTGTAAGAAAGTGACTGAAAGATTTGTAGGAAACATTTGAAACTAAACGATCCAAAAGAGAGGAAGACCAAGTTCAGATGTAGAAGACTGACTGAATGGCATGAACATGCACATAGATTGTAAAGGGTTCTGACAATGGTGTATAACACTCAGAATCACTGGATTTTTGGGCTATGCCCATTGTCCAGTATTCTAGAAACCAGAAAACACAAAGTTTCAGAAAGTGGATCTGTCTGCATCCTCAGATGAAGGGGGGAAGACTGGTCCAGTGATTGAGGTTAGCTCTTTCTAAAGCACCCAGACCAGTGATTGAGGTTAGCTCTTTCTAAGGGAGCCAACTGAGCAGGTATCTTCCTCCCACCTGAGGACAGAAACAGATCCAGTTTCCAAATCGTTTCCTAGTTTCTACAATACTGGATGATGGACAAAGTCCAAAAATCCAGCAATTCTGAATGAACATGCATGTTCAATCGTCCAAGTTCAACAGATGCAGAAGACCATCTGAATGGCAAACTGCACCTATTTCAGGCACATGTTGGGAAGGGAACAAGGAATTATGCAGTTCACTGAAACAGAGAAGGGAAAGGAGACAGAAGAGGAATATAGTTTTATTACGACTCCTTTTTCAGAAGCCAGCAGTTGTTCCACTACTGAAGACTTTCCTAACTCTTTATGGAACCAAAAGGTGAGTCTCTAATAACATTCCAACATCATTACAGTTGAGGGGCTTCCCCTGTTCTATGGTGGCCAGACACCAATTTGCCCTCTCTTAAGTGTCCAAGGTAGACAGGACTCCAACTAACAAGTGTTTTGCTATATATCATACAGTGAAGAAGAACCATTAGGTATGTAGCAGATAGAAATATTTTATATCTGATAAAGTTACAGAAAAAATATTCCACATTTCCAGTAGAAAATTATAATTATTTTTCACGCACAGCAATCCACAAATGATATATGCATTTTCAACTGTGATTATGATTCTTTATCTGCAGTGGTTTCATCATTTACTATTCGTGTTGTGTTCATTTTACAGTGCTGGTCTCAGTCTTCTAATTACAAACTCCCTGGAAAGGAAATACAGCTTGAAGATTATGACATCAAATGCTTACAATTGTATGTCTGCATGAAATTTGAGATGTTCAAATGTCACCAAAGTCATAATCAAAGAACTGGGTTTAATTTTATTCTATGATGAATGAGAGTAGATAGATTGGCGCCATTCACTACATAACTAGCGACAGCAGTACAATCCATAAAAAAAAATATTTCATAGTCAGTATTCAACTCTGATCCGTGCAGACCATATTTTCATCATATTTAGCAGTGTTTCTTCCCCTTCATGCAAGTTATAAAGAATAACCAACCAGTTCATAGTGAATAACAACAACATAGGGTTAATGCTGTTTTAATACAAAATGAATGCATAATTATGATTTTATTCTCATGAGAACTCCTCCGAATTCTGCTTCATTCCTAATACAAATCATATGGTTTTACTATTTTTTTTTTCCAATGACTCTTCCAGCCCATTCAGGGCCCTGACCTCTTATTCAGTTCCGTAATCATTTTTCACAGATGGTAGGACTTCTTGGGTGAGTGATCAGCCCATTGCAAAGCCGCTACCTACACACAGGACAACACAAACACAGAATAAACACATACACAAAATATCAATGCCCTGAGTGGGATTCGAACCCATGATCCCAGCATCCCTGGAAGTGAAGCCAGTGCATGCCTTAGACTGTGCGGCAACCGTAACTGGCATGGTTTTACTGTATGTCATATAATTACATACAGTACAATAAGGAAGAGCATACTGTAAATTCAACTGTTACATCATATTAGGTAATATCTTGAAATCTTTTACAATTACTATCCTATTCCTGTAAAAATCACATTATTAATTCTTCTGTAAAATTACATATAAGTTCACCGCAACTTAATTTGTTCTTACAGACTTCTCCATGTAAAATAAATTAGTGAACACTGCAGACCAGATATTTAAATGTATCATAATAACTGCACTGTTCTTTAACATTTTGTTGTTGTGCAAATATCTGCACAGTACTATGCATCATCTGTCTCTTTCTCTCACATGTATCTGTGCTGTCATGACAAGCAAATTTCAACTGTACATTCAAATTATGAGTATTTTTTCACAACCCTGCACAGCATATATGCAGCTGAAATTTTGTATATAATCATTTCTAGATGGGCCCCATAGTAAAGTAAAGGTATCCCTGTAACAGGCTGTAGAAGCCCATAGGGTTGTGAGATGTTGAGGTTCCCACACTTTCTAGATCATTGGTTCATAGATGGCAGTAAAGTTGTCAGCCTTATGCGCCCGCCGCCCTTTACCCCCCAAGAACATTCCAAGAATATTTCTCGAACTCATTTCTGTTAGAGGCTGAGTCGACCCCGGGGCCATAGGACAGCTGGAAGGATTACATCAATTGAAAAAAATCCAATGACCTCATCAGGATTTGATCCCACTTGTAGCATAGTGCCTCAACCAACTATGCTACCGCATGCCCCAGATGGGCCCCATGCATGAGCAAAATTTTGGGTGAGGTTTCAACCTGACCAACTGGAACATTTCCTTGTCAGTCCTGTTAGATCTCACTGCTACCTTTAACAATTGAAAAGCACATTACAAAAAATGATCTTAATGAAAGTCACAACAAAAATATGAAGAAAACATGAAAATGCAAACACATATGCAACTTCTGAGATGGAACCATATTTCAGTGTGCCATCTGAAAGAAAAGGTTATGAAATGCTGAATAAAACAACCAGTAATATATCCAAATTCCAGAAAGTGTCATGTGGCATCATAACCCTGATTACTCAGGTAACAATACCTGATACTAAAAGGTATGTACCACTATACGGTTTTATGAAAACGAAAAGAGCTTCAGCCATATCCTATAGTTAAAATGAAGATAACTCCTACCATACTCATATGGGCAAGCAGAGGACTCATTCATCAATAAATATGATCTGCCAAGTTGCAGGGTGATCACTATTTACCTTGTGCAGCTTGTTTCTTAATAAGCCATGTATTTCTAAGGTTAGTTTTTCCCGCTGTTCAATGGGACAATCATTTCTCCGAACCTCTTCCCACAGCTTTTTTGATTTATTAATAAGAGTGTAAATAGTACACTTCTGTTCCTTCCGTGTGTTTCTTAGTTCTTTCTTCTTCTTTTTGAACTCTGGCCAATTTGGCTTTTCTGTATAACAAACACATACAAAGAGCACTAAGACAAAAAGAGTCAATTTATGAATAAAACACAGCTGTTAAAAATTTCTTACACATACGTTCCGTAATTAATTTAATTTGCTTAGTGGGGGGTGGAGTCCAACTGGGTCCACTCAGCATGGCAGCCACTGATTGGACTATTGTAGCCTGCCCTGGGTGGTTATGATGATGGAGAATTTGGTGGACTGAAGATTGGCAGGAGAAATCGAAGTACTTGGAGAAAACCCACCCCAGCGCCACTTTGTCCACTACAAATCACACTTGACCAGACCTGGGATTGAACCTGGGCCAGCACAGTGGGAAGCTAGAAACTAATCGCTTGAGCTATGGTGCGGCCTATATGTTCAGTAAATAAATACCATACACAGCCAAATATAAGGCAATCCGTTATTTTTCCAACAGGAAAATAAGGGAAAATATTTTGGGAGAGAGGGAAAAAACTGAACATGTCACTTAGTTCTGAGGGTTGAAAGCAAATAGAAATTCATTATATTTAATCTTAAAGACCCAAAAATGAGGTGACCCCTCTTTTCTAAGCAGCAGTATTGGGGGGGGGGTACTTGCTTTATATTCTGGCTAATACAGTCACAGTTATCCCTAGTTATTAGAAGTAAATATGAGAGCCACCAACACAATTTATTATAAAAATTAATATTAAAATGTTTGATATTTGGTTTATTTACATCCCACTACATGTTTCAATCTGCAGCGATCACCATCTTGGATGAAGACTGTCAAAAATATGGAAACACCTCGTGAAATGTATGCCTGAATTGAGGTGTTTATTTTAGCGATGTTTGTAGGTGACGATGTCGTATCTGTCCAATAGCACTACCTGTACAACCTCCGCAATACGCTGCAAGCTTCATTTGTTGTCGAGACAGTGTTCTGTGCAGTTTTTAGTGCATCATGTCAGAGCTAACAGAAATCGAACGCGGGCAAATTGTTGGGGCCGGTATGGTGGGTTCATCCGTAACCAAGGTAGCCGAGGTTTTTGGTGTTTTGCGAGGTACAGTATCCAAGATGATGACCACATACAGGACTGGAAAAAGCACATCCAATAAATACCAGCGTGGATGGAGATGTGTGTTGTGTGATCGAGACAGATGAACATTGCGTAGGATTGTGACGAAAAATAAGACTAAATCTGCAAAAGTGACTGCTGAACTGAATGTCATGCTCACAAACCCTGTCAGCACCAAAACAGTACGAAGGGAACTCCACGAGCAGGGTATTTCTGGACGAGCTGCAATTCCAAAGTCACTCATCAGTGATCAAAATGCCACCAAGAAGAGAGTGTGGTGCCGATGTCACAAAATCTGGACTATGGAGCAATGGAAGATGGTCATTTGGTTGGATGAGTCCACCTTCACACTGTTTCCAATTTCTGGCCGAGTTTACCTCTGGAGAACGGCATCCCAAGCTTATGATCCAGATTGTTTGCTGCCAAGAGTGAAACATGGAGGGGGTTCGATCATGGTATGGGCAGCTATATCGTGATATTCTGTCAGATCCATCATTACCTTGCAAGGTCACTTCACTGCCAACGACTATGTGACCATTTTGGGCGACCAGGTCCATCCCATGGTGCAAACATTGTTCCCCAATAGTGACGCCATTTACCAAGAAGACAATTCCCGTTGTCACACAGCTCACATCGTCCAGGACTGGTTTTCTGAGCACTAAGATGAAGTGTCACGTCTGCCATGGCCCCCACAATCACCAGATATCAATATTATTGAGCCTTTGTGGTTTATTTTGGAGAGCAATCTGTGTGCATGCTATCCACCTCCATCATCATTAACAGAACTTGCCAATGTTTTGCAGGAAGAATGGTACAAGACTCCCTTGCAAATAATACAGGACTTGTATTTATCCATTCCAAGGAGACTGCAAGCAGTTCTGCAAGCCAGAGGTTGTCCTACTCCATAGTAGTCACGGTACTGTGATTTTTGTTGGGTGTTTCCATCTTTTGTCCATCCCCTGTACATGGTAAAAAGCAACCTGGCAGCCCATACTAAAGCTGAGTAACCCATATAGAAAGCTTTCATACATATACACCAATTTATATCTAGATACATACAGCAACTCTGTGAAGTAAGTAAAGCTATCCCCGTACCAGGCCGTGAAGGCCCATAGGGTTGTGAGACGTTGAGGGTCCCACATTATCTAGACAATCGGCTCAAAGATGGCGGTAAGGTTGTCAGCCCTATATGCCGGCCGCGCTTTACTCCCCAGGAAAATTATTTAATTAATTCTTGGTACTCATTTCTGTTAGAGGCTGAGTAAACCCCAGGACCTAGTGCAGCTGGAAGGATTAGGTCAACTGAAAAAATCCAATGACCTCATTGGGACTTGAACTCACGAACTCTGTAAGACACAAAAACCAGCCACCTAAAATATTACATACTTTGTATGTCGACCAATCTCCATCACACACCAAACAAACAATTTGTGTGCCCAAAGGATCAGAATCTACAAAGCTCGGCTCATCTATACCACAGAACAACTAGTACCCTAAACAAACCACTTCCCCCATTTTTATACTAAAATACTAATTGTTATCTAATTTACTTAAATTATCAGATTTTAACTTTTAGTGCATCTAACCTTTAGCAAAATATGATACATGTTATTTGAGATATAGCTTGTACTTACTTAAGAACTCAGATTTATAATATTATTGGAAAATGTAAAAAATAGACCCATTTTAATAGATAATTCAATAATGACCAACTGGGTGATACAGTTCGCTTGTGGACTAAAAGTCAAGGCATTTGTTTTGAATACAATAATGACATATGTATTCAGAGACCACCCGATCATGATCTGTCCATACTGAAACAGGCAGCTGGATGCAAATACTGCGAATATTAAACATTTAAATATAGGTTTTATAATCAACTGTTGTATGGACAGCTCTCAAATATACCTTTAATATACAATACATAACAGGATGCAAAAAATAAGGACATCTCCAATTACACATTCAAGTTCTACAATTTTAACCTTCTGCACTAGTGTGACAAAGACAGAAAACCTGTCTTTTCACATAATGATAATAATCAACGTATTAAATCCTTATTTTGTTTCTGTTGTGCTGGATAGAACTGTTTCGAGCACCTCTGTTACTGTAATAAAAACTGCATCTTTGTGTAATATTCTATTTAAATAGTAAATAGAACTAATTTTACAGTATGACTGAGAACCTGAAAATCATTTGGCCCTTCAGTGGGGACTGGCGAACACTCTTTTGTAAACTTGGGCAGACTCAACAAAGCAACAGTTTACATACACTGCAATTTCTCTTCAATACCAAACTGGTAAATCAATCAACAGCTATCAACCATGTTTGAGCATTGAATTTCAGTTGACTAATGATACCCTATGAAGTTTCAACTTCATGAATTTTGTGGCAGTTTGTGGCAATGCGTTTGAAATACAGTCTCTTGTGCTTTGAGAAAAATGTTCATGCCCAGGACTGATTCCATCCGCTTTTTCCTACATGAGCATTTGACATTTCAAAGAGATCAAGGATATCAAATACTGCAGTGACTCAATGATATAAAAAAATTTACAAAACCACACTTAATAAACTGAATTCTTATATAAAAAACTTCAACCTTCTTGTAGTCTTGTCAAGTGTAGCTCTGTGGTAGCAGCAAAGGGCCACAGCACACAATACCACAGCAGACTAGTTTGTAATTTCAAACCAAAACTGACAATGCAGCTACAAATATCTTGCACAGAAGTCAGCAGAAAGCAAAGCCTCGGTTCTATTAGAAACTCTGAATAAAATACTGTATTACTTTGAAGTCACATCCAGTTTTTAAATGAGGGTCTTAGGAAAAAATTAGAAAGGTGTATTTATTGAGAACACAACAATTAAAATAACACTTTTAAAGTGAAAAGTAATGGAAAATATACTAGAATAAAATGAAAATTTAAAATTTTCACTACATGCACATTCCTTTCTATCTTTTTTATTTAATCAGAAAGTTCGTCCAATGATCCTGCAGTCACACTTTTATTTTCTGAAGATGATACACCCTTGCCCCTTTGTTCATTGTCATTAAAAAGAATGTCATCTTTCATTCCATCTTCCACATTAGACAAAGAGCACTTTAAAAACGATTTTGAAATAATACGGACTGGCATTTCTTTCCAAGCTTCAGATATCCAGTCCACTATTACTAACATTGATGATTTCTTTATTTTGCCACTAGGTGTCAGTACTGATTGTCTTTATTTAGCCAGGCATCACAGTGTTTAAGGACAAGATGCCTGAATGGATTCCTAATTGACACATCAAGTGGTTGTATTTGACTGCCATGACACTATGAATTTCCACTAGATCAGTTTCTTGCTATGCAATGGCGTGGAAAACACATTTCTGCGGCACCAAATACAGACGCAACAACAAAAGAGCTGTTGTTTTTGTTGGTGGTGAGTAAGGGTTATAAGGAGGCAAAAGTTCAGAGCTCATTTCAGTTATGGGATATGTGCCAGACAGTATGGATGTAAGCAAACAGTTCTAAAATCCGAAACATCTACTGAAGATAGAGAACACTTTATGTGTGCCATAGTTATAGTGATATTTGGAGTGTGTAATTAAGTAAGACTGTTACAGTTACTGTGTTAAAATCTGTTACCAGAATTAGCATGTGCTGTAGTGGTTTGTAAAGAGTGAAAATTAGCAAGAGTGTTATAGTTACTTGTAGTTACAACGTGTAAGTGGTCAATGAATTCCATCACCAATTCAAAACCATGTCAATAGTCACCCAAAATTGTGACAACACCAAAGATACCAAATAAAAAATATGCTGATATATCATCTAATCCCTACCTCTGTGTATCTGACTGCAACATAAGAGCAAAATAATTTGTCACTCATCCATTTTTAAATACAATATATGAACCATAAGTGCAAATGAAGAGAAGTTCACATACAAAAGTACTTACCAGCTGCTTTTGTCCTCTTTGAATCTTTTCTAAGGGTCTCAGCATTTCTTTTCTTAGGCTTCCTTTGTTTCTTAGACTTAGGACTGTTTTTTTCTATCTTAGCTTTTGGTTCCTGCCCAGAATCGTGTGTACTGTGGCGTTTCCTACTAACCATGGTCATTGTTTCTGCATAAGAAAAACAAAAGAACCACTACTGTTTAAAGTATATACAGTAGTTTGTATTTTACAGTTCACGTATGTAAGAACTATTTACCAGCTATTTTCATCCTTTTTGAATCATTTCTAAAGGTTCCATCACTTGTTTTCTTTAGTTCCCTTTGTTTCTCAGACTTTGAAATGTTTGTTTCTACCTTGGCTTCTGGCTCCTGTCCTGTGTCAAGTGTACTGTGGTGTTTCCTACTTACAATGGTCATTGTTTCTTAACTTAAAACTAATTATGGAAATCTGAGGCAGGAGAATATAAATGTGAAAATGGTGAAGAGAAAGAAGGCAAAGTATGAAGACAGGGCACGGAGTATGGGAGCAAGAACCAACACCATTGGTGATTCTGTCAAACTCCTACACCCCTAGCTTTTGTTGAAATAATGAGACATACCTCCTATTATAAATCAGATACTCTCCCTCATCCATAAGGAACAAAGGGTATATTTTATGCACCGTACTTGTATTCTAATTTGTAATTAACATGAATCAAGATGTTTAAAATATTCTTGTGAATAATTATTTGAGTGACAAATATGAATGTGTCTTAAGATTCCGTGAAGGGACAAGATAATTCTAAATCTGCCATCCTTTATTGTTATTTTCCATATACGCCTACTTCAGAACAACAAATCTTATACAGCATTAAGAAAGGATTGTCTTATTATTCACCACTGGCCTATCCTGCTTATGCTGAGTTACATCCCTTGTGCATACTGTGAAGCAAGACAAGAACTTGTGGAAGGGAACACATCTTTCTTAAAGATCCTGGTACAAACTTGTAGTAGTCTTTGTAACAAGCATGCATCACACAGTACATGGAACCATATCCCAAAGTTTGGTGAAATATTTTTTGTTCATCCTGTACAGAACTGAGTGACAGGATGACTGATGAATTGCAATGGACTTTGAAGGAAAGAATCGTGGCTTAATTGATGTTACATCCCAGCTATTTCATGGAGGGCCTGAGGAAACCCAAGAAAAATCTCAGTGAGACCAGCCAATGTCTAAAGTAAGACTTTAACTGTGTACCTATTGAATATGAGTCTACAGCATTAATGGTACATGAACCCACTTTGCACATTTGAAGAAATAACTCTACTTAATCCACAAGGGAATTTTAAAAATTCATTATGATACATGCTTGACCAACATAATCTCATGGCAGGGTCTTATGAACAGTAAAAGGCAATGATGAGAGAAGACTAATATTTGCAGAACCATGTTTCATGTGAACTGCATGATACATTCTGCTATAAAAGAAATTAATGAACTGTAAATTCCAGAAATAACATAATTTACAGAATAATAAAAATCTGGACATGTTGGGAGGATGAGCTCTGACAGGATGCCATATGAGACCTTCATAATGATGGAAGGACTGTAACAGGTCTCAATACAGCTGGTACTGGAAAGGAAGATGATGGTCATGATAAACAAACCTACTCCCCTTTCCTTTCCAATTAGCATGAGTCTAAGGTTGGTTGTTTCCAGTTTGGTGTTCCACATTTCTACTGCAAAGCAGACAGAAATGCAGTGACCAGCTATTACGCCTGTTTCATTTGCAACATATCTCTACATATTACACTATTTACCAAAGATGGGTGCAGCTGTACTAGCAAAATTAAGAAAATATTGTTCTTTACTACATTTAGAGATACAGGTATTCCTCATTTTATTAACTTTTGCTACAGTTCACAACTTATGTTCATAAGAAGTTTCTTTTTGCATAGGCAGAGAATTACAAACACAATACATTGGGAGATGGGGAGAAGCAGATATCCCCACATATGTCCTTTGCCCACCTATCCAGTCTGTCCGTGCACCTTGCTGTGAGTGTACAGAATCATCTGTGTTCTTAACAGTTACATTTTATCCACAAATATTTGTTATTAGCATCCATCAGACTACAAAACATATGAAAGTGGTTGTAAGAGGTGTTGATTACCCAAAGAAACTAACGAACAATAACGAAGCAGCATCTTGCATTGGATCAGCTATGAGAAAGTAATCATGAATAAAATAATGCAGCTTTATTTGCAACAATCAGTATCATAAACAGGTAATAGTACCCTTATTTTAATATCTATTTACTATTACAACACATGTTAAAACATATTGGGGGATTCTCTGGGACTTGTGCACAAGTCAGTGGCTTTTACAAGTAATGTGAATATCATTTTCAATTTATGAATTTCCTCTTTAAAAACAGTTTTCATGGAACAAATTAGCCTTGTGAATTGAGAAATACCTGTATACAGTTTTATATTTCTCCAACACAATTTAGTAACTGGCTAAACTGCATTATTAGCTTAGTTAAATGGAACATGTGTTATGTCAGTTTGCAAAGAAGCAGAAATACAACACAGATTTTGTGAAAAAGTTTTGTGGATGATGACTCATACTTCCATGTACCAAAGAGGCTCATAATATGTCACTGAATTATAAAACTTTTCCCTAAATAAATGATTTGACTAATGAGAAATGCCTGGGCTTGACCTCACAGTGGTACTGTAATACAATGTGTCTTTAAGTCAACCATTTAACTCAGCAAATTATGTTTTGCTCCATAACACTGTGACATGCAGGCCATTTCTAGAAAATGGACTGGCAAACACATTTCCGTGGAGATACGATTCTTGGACACAAACACCGCTGAGCGTTAAGTAAATGTTCCATAGGATATGAAAGTGAGAAGTGTAGGTGCTGCTACAAAATTAACACACATTTCCATGGAGGTGACTACTCAGAGGCCAACTCTGTACACAATAAAGGTTTCCATGTAAACAAACAAGCAACAAACATTTTCCTAGATTACTGCCAGACTATATTATCAGCTGTTCAGCTAAGAAGTGATTCATTCATAAATCTACAGGAGCTGCAGCAGAAAGGAGAACCATGAATGAATTCTTGAATGGTCAGTTTCGATGTAGTGTCGCTCTTTACCAGGGTGACTATAGAGGATACTATGGATCGGCTAGGACGACATTTCAAAGAAGATATTTTGAGAGACTCTTCTGCTATGTCCTGACCACCTCATACTTCATCTTCAATGGCCAGTTCTATGAACAAACTGATGGGGTGGTGATGGGCTTGCCACTGTCTCCGGTTATCGCAGACTTATGTATGGAGGAATTTAAAGAGAGGGTACTTGACTTGGCCCCACACAAGCATGGTTGCTGCTTTCGCTACATGGACTACATCTTAGTCATCTGGCCACATGGGCTGACAAGCTTAAGGACTTCCTGAACCACCTAAATAATATCAACCAGTGCATTCAGTTCACAATGGAGACTGAAATTGAGGGCCACCTCCCCTTCCTGGATATAGATATTTACAGGAGACCCAACGGTTCTCTGGGCCATAGAGTGTACCGCAAATCCACCCATACAAACCTCTAACTTAACACTGCGTCCCACCACCACCCTTCCAACAAGCAAGCTGTACTTTCCGCACTGGTGCACAGGGCTAGAGCTCTATGCGATCAAGACAACCTACATGCGGAGTTGGTACTCCTGGGGGATGTTTTCAGGCAGAACGGATACAACAACCGGCAGATCCACAGAGTTGTCAACCGTCGGCTGAACATCAGTCAGCCCAAAGATAAACCGGCCTCAGTCGCCTTCCTGCCTTATGTTGGGACTATATTCAACCATATTAGTAGAGTGCTGTCCCAGCACAACATCAAATCAGTGGGCCTGCCTCCAAAAAAATTATCTAGTTTCCTCCGGCCAGTCAAAGATAGCCTGGGACTAAGGACACCGGGTGTATACAGTATACCATGCAAGTGCAGCAAGGTCTATATTGGGCAGACAGGCTGTTCTGTGGACAAGAGGTTGAAGGAGCATCAGCGGCACATCCATCTTGAACATTCAGACAAGTCAGCTGTGGCTGAACAGAGCATCATTTTTGGACACCACATTCAGATTCAGAATACCTCCATCCTCCCTACCAAGACCAGTTATATGGATCGCATCATTAGGGAGGCCATTGAGAATGAACTCCATCCCGACAATATGAACAGAGAGGCGGGGTTTTGTCTCAGCAAGTCATGGAAGCCTCTCATCTGTTCCCTCAAGTAACCTCCGAAATACGGCAGCCCTATAGGCCACTCAGGTCCACCCCAGCCTCCGAGCTACAGGGTTAATGCCCTCCATTTAACCTTTCGTTCTCTCCCCCTAACACATAATCTATACCAGCTCTGGCCCACTACCTGCTGGCTATTCCACCAGACCCTTCCCTTCCCCTTCTCTACTATTTCCCTATGTAGCCACACTCCTTCTCTCCTTCTCTTATACAGCTGTGTTTACTTGACTGGACTCAGTCTGTTGCACCTGCTCTGCTGCTTCGCTCGCGGATTTCGTCTTGTCTTCTACCCTGAAGATGGAGGCGATACATTCCTCCGAAACGTAGGTTAACACAATTTCTACAAGGCGCCACATCCCAGAAGATGACTTTCTTCCAGAATGAATTCATTCGTAAATCAGAAGTGAGTGATTCGTAAATCAACAGGCATATGTAAAATAACTCTGAACAAAGTCAGCCACAGTAGAAAACAGACTAGAAGAGAAGACAGTTGTTGTTCAAGTCAGTCACTGATCAGACCAGAACAGATCGGATAACAACTGAGCTGAAGACAAATTTGAGTTACTGTAAACTGACAATGATTAAGAGTGATTGTAAAAGGTGTTAATAAATCTAATCATCTAATCCAGAACCTGTTATTATTGGTCCTGGAGCCATAAACACATGACAATACCATACATACATATTATGGAGTGAAATGGGGAATGGAAAAAACTACACAATCAGCTTCTTCACAGTTCTCATAGCATTGTTAGGATAGTTACGTCAAAGGGTTTACAAACCGTTGGGAAAACCTTTCACAAGACAGGTTCTTGATTATGGAACTGGGGCAATAACATTACTCCAACCATTACAGAAATGGGCTATGGGGATGTGTAACAAATTGAACTGGTTCCAGAAGGAATCCAGTGGTGGGCTTCAATGCTCTTGGTGATGAATGCTGTTGTTCTATAACCAGGCAGTTATCAGCCTTTGTTGTTCATTCAAAGTAGCTCTCTTTTCAACAAAGGATTCTGTATCAAATGAAGGATTCTGTTGACATAAACTTGTGTCAGGATAACATAATAAAGCTTTCAATTTTTAATTAACAGTGGAAAAACAAATGTAATGCCTCTTATAGGAAAAGATGTTATACGATAAAACACTATGATAACAGCCAATATAGCTGAAGAGGCAGTAAATTTTAACTATCTGGCATGGGGAAATACCATGCAAGTGTGATGAAGACACTAATAAATTGCATGAATTCCAGCACATGTGCAGTACAATAAATGGAACACTATGAAAAAACTCAGTTATGGCAATCCCTGTGCTAATGTGGTCTGAAAGCTGAGTACTAAATTGAGCTGACAGAAGATGGATTGAAAAACAGTATAAATGAAATTTCTGCGTGTAGTCTCTGGGCATTTTCTCCACGATCATGGATATAGTAAAACGGTAAGCATTCAAAAGAGAATTTTTAAATTACAAAACAAAAACCTATGGCATGAACATCTGCCAAGAAGGTAACATAACAAGCCCACTGGACATAGAAATGTACCACGACCCAAAATAAGCCTACAGATTCGTTCTGAGAGGGACGGAGCCTGGCGCTCACCCTGCAGCCGATGATAACGGGTAGCTGAACAAAACGTCATTGTTAATACTAAGGTCGTAGATACTGTGACCAAATACAAATTTTATTTTTACAAAATAATTTTATCATTATAATTTACAATTATATATTGTTTTATCAGTGTTTGTATTGATTCTTTATATATTCCTGTGAGAAAGTTAATATGTATTTATGGCTAGTGTATGTCTTATATTGTATTATTTTTATGTTTGACATGATTCATATTAATTGATCCCTAGCACAGCATTGTTAATTTAGATATAGGACTTTGTTCTGCTTTTGAATCTTCTTGTGATTTGCCTTGCCAGTATCTTGCTGACTTTGTTATATATATTTTTAACTTGTTTCAACAGCTGTTGGAGCATATCTCATTATCTGTTTTGAAATGTTCTATATCCAATGGTTTTATACCTGTAACTGGATCTATTAGAATATAATAAAGATATGATATGATATGCACCCATAAACAAACCATCACAGGAACGGATATAATAAATTATATTATACATTTAAAAGAAAACAGGTGATCTGCAGTACCTTACCATTAAAGCACTATCAAATAGTATCTATAATACTGAAATACAACACTGGAGCTTTTATAGCAGTCAAAAACAATACCAAACATATCTAAGTTAAGATGGTTACGATCGTTTACGACTGCTTACAATGTGAACTTAACAATTTTCGAGATATCGTACATGATCTACTTAATGGCGCCACCACCACAGAGAGTGGAAAACCGTAAACCCTGACAGGAATCAGAAAAGACAAAAGTCGGAAGTCAGTATTCCATGGAGAGGAGTACAGTTATAAATTTATGACAGGTTGGTAACCCTTCAGATGTATATGTAATATATAATTACAGTATTGATATTTCCATGTGCAATTTACTAGCGCCACTCAGCTGGAAAACAAAAATTTCGTGGGTCTCTGTTCGCCACCTGCTTTCCCGCTGGTTTCTTGCTCAGCGTATGCGAATCCGAAGATGGGGGCGGTATGTTCCTCGGAAACGCCGGTTCACCTGCAACGGACTACACCGCATTATAGTATACTAGATGTACCAGATGATTGTATTCTTCATGGGGGAAGCTTGTAACATGTAAGACTTAAGAACATTTTTGTCATCACATGAGGTTTGTACATACAGATTGTGATGTCTGTGCTTAAGGAGAAAATCCAAGAGAAGGTTGGAATGACCCTACTTTTACACTGCACTGTATTCAGCATTGAACCGTACAAGATCCACGTACATTTTCATTTTCATTTTTTCATTTCATTGGCTTCTTATATTATGCTAACTTTAAGAAAAGATCTACAAATAAATTTTAAGTAATTCATGCAAAGTAATGTAAAGTCCCCACCTAGAACTGGACGCCCATTATGATACTTTGAACATCTCAAGCCGTAAACAAAAACACAACTCTGTGGTTTTTGTTTGCAAACGAACTATGCACTAACTTCGCTGACAAGCGGCTGCCGCTCAGTACAACTCAAGCTCTAGTACTGGTCAATTAAGAAACTTGACATACTAAATGGTACTTCTGTATATAATTTAAATTTAGGTGCTTGGTTGTCTGGGATACGATGTCATGTAAGCTGGTAAATTGGCACCAATATTTCATAGGAACTGGCTGCCTTCATCTTAGGGGCAGATGTGAAGCTGGAGGCATCAGGTTCCTATTTCAATGACCCACCTTCTGGTGCAGGTGTACTTCAGAGGGTATTGTTGTATATGGAGGCTAACTTGTTAACATTTAATAAGAAATATTGTCAGTAAAGGCAAAATGTGAAAATTAAGTTAAAACTTGTGACAGAGGCTGTACACAAGGGAAATATGATAACTTGACCTCTACCCGGATGTATTTGTACATTGCTTCCAAATTTACTTAGTTTCTCAGCCCAAGGGCAAACATTTAATATGGTATGTGACCAACTTGGAATAACATTTTACCACCCCTGGGTAAAGTCTAAGAACAGGGCCAAGGTACTGTAAGACCATCTCCATATACATATCCTCGATTTGTACTGACTGTCGTCACGAGGGGAAAGTTCAACGGGAAATTCCTAGAGAAAGCACCCCTAAGAAAAGTATATAAACCCCAGGAAATCAGCTGACGACAGTCTTCTGACCAGGCACTAAGAGTCGGGACTCTGTGCTGTTTAAGACTTGGCCGGCGCCATTGGCCTAAGGCGCTTACCTGATTTCTCTATTGTACATGTCATTTGTATAATAAACCACTTGTTTTAAGCTAGTCTCCAGCAAGCTGTCTTTCAACCACTGCAGACAGGGAACTACGGCTCCCTCTCGGCCTAATCAAACCTCCCACAAGTTGGGATACGACATTTACTGGTGTCAGATGTGGGGTGTACGCTGAGGTCTTCACGACAGTGTAGGAGACAATGTCTTGAAATGTTGGAATAACATTTGCAAAATAATTTGCCTCTTCTGACATCAAAGTGTATATTTGTGACCTTATGAAAAAGTGTAAGCAAATGCATTAATGGTTTAAAACTGCTCTACATATTGATATGTCCGATTAATTATTTAATCAAGTAACTAAATTGGAAAACAATAACAAAAAATACAACCACAATTAACAGCATTAGATATCAGCACTTCATGTTGGCCCACAGCAAGTGTTATACAGCGGAACCCTCCATTTATGTTCCTTAGTTCAAGGTTTCCCCTCTTTTAACATTCAGTTTCAAAGAACCAAAGTTCAGAATCTCACTGCTAAATATCCTCCATGTGAGACTCCTCAGTTTAAGTGTTCAAATCCAGTGCTGCCTGAAGAAATCTTAGATGGGGGTTTCACTGCATGGCCTGTGCCCTAAAAAGGTTGCTGACCTTAATCATGCCTGTGTTTTATGATGTACTGTTTCCTTCAGAGCCATTTTTAGAATCCTGGTAAGTTAAATTAAGGTTTCATGTAAAGCAGGGGTTATAATCAGATTTGTAAGCATCAAAATTAAATTCATGAAATAATTTTAATATGGATCCCCCCATTACTGAAGGTAGTCAAACTCTAATGAGTATTTTTGGAAATGAAACATGCAAACAGACAATTGGCTGCACATGACCTTCACATTATGCATTCACTGTATGCACTCTATGCAAGGAATGTGTTAAACCCTGGTCTGTAAGTTAAAGTGATATTACAATATTGCCTTGTGGTACACAGCTTTCATGGACTACTGATAAATTGCTTACTAATAGTATTCTGCCAAATGCAGAGGCTGTTCCATTGTTATGAAATGAGGATGATTTATGTGTACACCACAGAAGAGGACTGGGGAGGAAACTACTGTAAAATACTCCACCATTTGTCTGGAGAGACTGAAAACCGTAAAAAAAGATAGGATATTCTGCACTCTAGTCAAGGCTATAACCTGATGCCTTTTGAACACAAGTTACTAATGGTGCCACTTTGAGCCAACCTGCTTAATGATGTTCATACGATGTTAACATCTACTGCATTTCAAACACACTGCCATTCACTCGCCACATACAAAATACAAACTATACCAATGAAGTGACCGCCGCTTGTTGGTGAAGTTAGTGCCAACTTTCTGAGAAGTAGTAGGTCTGGGAACAGGGTTCACTCAGCATCGTGATGATAATTGAGAAGCTGTTTCAAGGTCTAGAAAACGGAGATTAATGGCAGTGGGGATCCATTGTGCTGACCACGTGACACCCTCTATCCGCTAAAGTTGGCACTCGCCATATACACTGCAGCTATTATCATCAGCATCAATAAATCATGATGGAAGCTGACCAGAAAAACATTAACACCGGGGTGGGAGAAAGAATAATAGTGTAAAATTCGATGTCTCAGAATTCCTGTCAGAGCATAAGAAATGTGTATGTTTATCATTTACATTTATTTTTCACTTCACGGATCCAGTCATCTCCCTCAGCCCTATTATCTGGGGAAAGGTGATTCTGAATCCTCTGTTAGTATGGGGCTAGTGACTCAAATTTCAAATTGGGGATTATTGAAAAGCAGTGCTTGGCCAACTGGACCACTCATATGCACCATTACAATAGTGCAGTGCATGGCCAATCATGATTAAGTATTTATCAGTACACATGGATGGGTACAGTTGAGAACAGAAAGGATCACACTGAAATTAGTGGAAGTATTATAATATTCTGGATACAGTATAGAAAAATTACCAGCAGCTACAAAAAATTACTGAAGGAAATTATGAAACAAACTATAAATATATTTATTTTTACAAGATGATTTAAATTAGTGTGTAAAACAACTATTTCCTACTACTGTACGAACATCCTTGCAACAGGGAAGTGAGCAGATGGTGTTCTTATTTATGTTATAAATTAGCTCTCATTCCTTCGAAAGGAGAGACAGAACAGAATAGGTTTGCTGTTGACTTCAGGTACAGTTCTCTGAATTATTACACTCTCTTCAAGTACTTACATTTTCGTGTAACTACATAAAGAAGCAGAGATAACTTTATTTTTTTACAGCATGAGATTCAAATCATGTTCAATTTTCAAACTGGGTTTGATACAAAGATGTTGGCATAAAACATTGTCTCAGAGGGGGGCCATGGCAGAAAAATTTCAGTTACATGTTTGTCCTTTAGTAAGTCAGATCCTCCACTTCTTCACATACATCTGTAAATATACAGCACCACTTACTGTTGAGTGCAGCCATTCTAAGTAGTTGGAGCCGTGGCCGCTTGAGGGTGGCACATCTCAGGTTGTGGCGTGGTGGTACCTGTGCTCGCCAGGGAGCAGCAGGATGGTTGCTAGAAAGCAAGGGGGTGTAACTCCCATAGCGGAGAGGGAAACATGCAGACCAGCCATCTGTGTTCAGCTACATGAACTAGATAGTCTGGAAATGACTGGAATCGGTCATAATACTTACTTACTTACTTACTTACTCATGGAGCTGAGCCCTTCTTGAGGAGCCGCCAATTCTGCAGCTACTCAAGAATTTCCCAGCATTTCACGGAACCCAAAGGTCCATCACCATGTTCACAAGAGCCCTCCACTGCACCCTACCCTGAGTCAGTTATATCCAATCCATACCGTCCCATCCTGTCTCTAAGATCCATTGTAATATTGTCCACCCACCTACGCCTTGGTCTTCCCTGTGGTCTCTTTCCTTCTGGCTTTCCCACCAATATCCTATACGCATTCCTCGTCTCACCCATTCATGCTACATGACCGGCCCACCTCATCCTCCTTGACTTGATCATTCTAATTATACTTGGAGAAGAGTATAAGTTATGAAGCTCCTCATTATGAAGTTTTCTCCAACCTCCTGTGATTTCATCTCTCTTTGGT